AGTGGGCAGTGTTTCATTCTGTTGTACATAAGGTTGCTATGAGTCGGAGGAGACTCGACAGCACATAACAATAACAAACCATGGCCACCAACCTAGAAATTCTGTGACCTTCCAGCTTTAGGGTTTACCCCCCATATGATTGCAGTGCCTCCGTCTAGCCTATGGTATTCACAGAGCAGCAAGGTGCTGTAGATGGGAGTAGATTCTCTTAGAAGTGATCAAGGATAGAGGGTATTCCTTTGACAATGAGCACACAATTTTTGTATATATAAGTGAGGTCAGAACCTGGGGGTAGTCTGTGCAGAGGTCAATGATTGCCAATTGGTTGGTTGCCAATCCATCAAGTTTTTTTTTGTTTGTTTCTAGTCTATTGCAAGTAGACCTTTGCTTACTATGCCTCTCAAGTTCCATGTTCTTGTATCAGAGCACATGGTTTTATCTTTTAAAAAATCCTTTCATTTTATGCCAAAATGTCTTTTAAATGCATGGTGAATATTACCATTGCTACCAGTTTGTGCTAATTTTTATAGCCACAGAACAACTGGCATAATACCACCAATATTATACCTTCTACCAACTATTTGGTTGCTTCAGATATTTTTGTTTTATTATTGCAGTGACTGAATTTATAGTCATCTGCAGTTTATAATTATAAGCACACATTATCAATATTATCAGCTTGATGCTTGAGCTTACTTTTCTATTAATACAAGCCCTACAGTTTTTACATTAATTACAGAGGGAATTAATGACCCTTTAGACAAGTTTTCACCTATGAGTAAGGAGTTTGGAACCAGCTGTTCCTGTAATGACTGTTCTCCGATGCAGGAGCAATGCCCACAGCTCTGACCTCAGTCTGGCCTCACATCCTCCACGACCTCCTTTGGGGCCTTCTGTTTCTGGCCTGGCTCATAGGAGGTACTGTTGTTATTTTTAATAAAAATAATAGTATTATTATTACTATTAAAGTCATCTTCTATATAAATGGTAAACCTGAGTGGGAGAGATTATCCCAGGCTTAAGGCAGAGTCTTCAACTCTTTCCCCCTCCTTTTTTTAAATTCTTCCAAATACTAATAATTGCTTTGATTCATAAAGTACCTACTATGTATTAGGTATTGTTATGGAGTACTTGACACAGTCTTTAATTTTCATGGCCACCCTGCCAAGCAGGGGTAATTGAATCTATTTTACAGGAGGGGAAATTGAAACCTAGAGAGGTAAAGTGACTTGCCCTAAGTTATCCACCCATCCATCCTTCCACTCATTCATTCACTCATTCAAGGACAATTTATTGAGTACCTACAATGTACCAGACACTGTGTTATGTGCTCTTGATACAGTGGTGAATAATAGTGATGGGCCTCACTCTGTTGAGACTCACTGCCTGGTAGGGGAACAGACAATTAAGACAATTATAGGGGAAGTACAGGGAGATATGGGAGAACCTTGGAAGTATACCCAACCCAGCCTGAAGGTCGGCTTCTCCAAGCTGACACCTAAATTGAGATTTGAGGGATGAGTGGAAGTTAGCCAGGCAAAGGATGGGGACAGAGTGAAGTAAAATGAGGAGTGTTTCAGGCAGAGCAAAACAATGTTTGCCAGAGTTGTGGGGTGGAGTATTTGGTACTCATAGAAGAAAAAAAAAAAAAAAAGCTGTATCTTCATTGAGACCAAGGCATCATGAGAGATGGTCTGGAAAGGGGGAAAAAGGTAAATTGGGAGGCTGGACCAGGAACCTTGATCAGTTGGGCCCAGAGCTGAGTTGCTGCAGGACCCAGGAGCAGAGTTTCCATGTTTTCTAGGCTTCTGGAGACATTTGCTTGCATGTCTCTAAGAGCACGTCCTTGCCAGCGGCTGGCCCAAGATTCTAGGAACCACAGTGCCATCTAGTGTCTACCAGTCCATCTTGCTGCCTTCACCTCAGTGTAGATTGTTTCCCACCATTTATTGACATAGGTGACTAGATGCTCTGTAGTGGGTACTGGGGACACTGAGATGAGTAAAACAGGGCCCCTATCCTCAGAGAGCTCACATTCAAGAAAAAACATGTGAATAGACAGTCTAAATAATCCTGGATGAGAGGAACACAGGGTGAGTAGGACACCAGGGAGGTGGCCCAGCCAACCTGGGTAGAGTAAGGGCAGGTTCCCAGAAGGCACAACCTGTAAGATGACTTTTGAAAAAGAAGGAGGGACTAGTCAGGCAGGGAGGTAGAGGTAAGAGCTGAGAGAAAGAGCCTTTTGAACAGAGGGACAGTGCATGCAAAAATGAGGCATGGAGCCTCAGTGTGTGGCTGAGAATTGCAAATCGTTCTGTCTAGGTGGAAGATAGGAGGAAAGCTGAGACTAGTTGGAGGTAAGAGCAGGAACTAGTTCACCGAAGATTTAGGATGCCTGCTGGTAGCTCATAGTAGGCACTTGATGAGTGGAATCATATAACGAGCTTCCTGACTGCTTTTGGGTCACAAACCCATGAGGATCTGGTGAAAGCAGGAGATGGTCTCCTCAAAAATGTGCTTTTACTAATATTTTTCATACTATTTTAAGGAGCTTCAGTGACACTCTCATCTCTGTCTCTCCATGAACAACAGACTTCCAAATTTCTCTTAGCATAAATGCTAAAGCCCTTACCATGGCCTCTAAGGCTGTGAATAATCAGTCCCCTTGTCTACTTTTCCAGTCTCTCCTCTCTCCCCTCTGCTTTGTCCACTCAGCCATTTGGCCTCTCTGCAGTTCCTGGAAATAGCACCAAGCTGTGTCCTCTTGCCTGGAATGCTCTCCCCCAATGTCTCACTTTTTGCTTAGTTTAATTCTATTAGTTGTTGAACATCTGTCTCTTCTCCATGAAAGCAGGACATTGTCTACCCTTAGTCTCTGCTGTACACAGCACCTGGCCCAGTGCCTGGTATACAGGATTTGTTGAATAAGTCAATGAAGGACCTACCAGTGGCCCATGGCTGGGTCAGGCTCCTTATCCTTACTGTATTTTTCTGCAAATAACATGCCCACACATATAACACACATAGCATGCTTAGGGAACTAACGTGTGAGGGGCTTGTGTTGGCAAAAAACATGTAACACATGCATTATTTGTGTAAAAATAAAGTAATTCTTTCTTTCCTTCAGCTTCTGGTGGGTTATCATAAGTGTACCCAACATGCTAAGATATGTCTGAATTCCAAGAGTAGCCTCAGATAAAGGACTTTTCCCCCGAAAGGTCTCCCCATCCCTGAAACAAACAGGCTTCCTGGGAGAAGAGTTAGACCTTCTAAGGCTGAGACTCTTCATCATGTTCACACTTTGTCTGCCTGGATTCTTACAAGAATCTGTGAGGTAGGAATTGTTGCTGCTCTTTTAGAGATGAAAAAACTGAGCCTAAGAGTGGTAGAGCAATGTGCTCAGGGTCACCCAATAATACCAGGCACCGAAGTTTAGGTTCTTTGCCTCACCAGAGAGGGAATAGGACTTGCCTAGGGTTATAGTGCCTAAAGTGCTTGACTGCTAACCAGAAGGCTGGTGGTTCAAACCCCTCAGCCACTCCTCAGAAGGAAGGTTGGGCAATCTACTTCCACAAGGATACCGCCTCAGAAACCCAAGGAGGGGTCGCTGTGAGTCAGATCCTACTCGACGGCACATAACAACAACAACAGGGTTACACAGTATCAGCCTTAGAGCCAGGAGAAGAATCTCTATCTCTAGTCTTCTACTTGTCCAAGAGGAAGGTCTGGGTCAGAGTTATGGCTCATTAGGCACTAATTGCAGATGGGCATAAGATGAAGCTGTTGTAGGCGCTAGGGAGGTTGCTCAAAAAGAGTAGAAAAAGTAGGCACTGAGGACAGAGCCCTGAGGATCACAGGTTTAGGGTGTGGACAGAGGGAGAGGAGACAACAAAGGGCCCACAGATGCCAACTTTGTGGTGGTCTGGAGTGCTCTCTCTTTTAGCAGCTTTGGCTTTTTTGAGAGCAATCAGCTGCCCCTGCAGGGAAGCAGGAAGGCTGGCCTATTGCCTGTCAGCTCCTATTCCTTCTAGATCACTGGCCCCCTGGCCCCTCCCAGGTCTGCCTTCTGCTCAGGACAGTCAGGGGCTTGGACTCTGAGGCTGTGAAAGGACAGGCACTCTCTGAACTGGATCTGCAGTACTCTTCAGGAACCCTTGCGTCCTTCAAATCTTCAAGATTCTCTCCTTTCTCCAGCCCTATCCATATCGAAGAGAGGGATGTGGTAGGTAGAGAGTCAGGGTACCTGGATTCTAGTCTGAAGTGCTCTATGAACTTAAAGTAAGACTTTTCCCTTCTCCAGGCCTCAATATTCCCATCTGTAAAGTCAGGCTGGGCAATTTCCTTGGAAGAACAGCCTTGTAATTGTGAGTGGTGTTTCTTCTGCCTTTTGCTTTTCTCTTCCGGGAGGATTTTTCTTAGCCAGTCTAGAATATAATATAGAAGAGAGAGCTTATTGCAATGGTAAAGACTAATATCCAGGGCACCATCTTAATAACCCAAAATGATTGGTTTGAATTTTATTTGATATGGGGCATCCCAGAACAACTCTCCAAACATCGTCTCATTAATTGTGTCAGAAACAAGAATGTTTGTGAAAAGCTTCTATTGAAATGTATTTACAAAGCAGCAATATGGCAGACGGGACAGAGTCCAGATTTTAGAATGGTCAAAACCAGGTCCTAATCTTAGGGTTCTGCCACTTACTGGCTGTATTGCCTGTTACAAGTTACTTAACCTCTCTCCATCTCAATTTTCTCTTCAGGAGATTAGAGCTAGCCACGCATACTTGACAGGGCAGTTGGGAAGATACCAGTGGAGATACATATAGGGAACCTGGCATGGGGTCTGGCCCAAAGGAGTAACTGCAAGCTTGCAAAGCTGCTTCCTTTTACTGTGAGTTCCCTGCCCTCCTGGCAGAGCAGGGGAAGGAGCAAAGTTTCTAGTTGCAGTCTGGCCTGCAGCCCAGCTGGCCTGGCCCCGCCTCCTTGGTTCTTCCTACTAGGGAAGGGTTGGGGAAGAAGGGGTGGTGACTCGGTGGAGGCAGTGGGCAGGCCAGGGGGCCTGCCCTCAGGACAGGTCCAGACTCATGGAGCCCCCCCGGGAGGAGCAGCAGGTAGGAACCAGGGCCCCTGCAACCTGACCCCTCCCTTTCTGCCCAGGCCTAGGCCCAGTTCTGGGCTGCTGATTCAGCAGCCTCCTGGCTTCCTGGTTTCTGGCTCTCCTCTTGGACTCTTGGAGGCCTTTGGCTTTGGAGGAGGGAGCCAGCTTGAGTGGGTGAGCTCATGGGCATCTGGGTGCCCAGCTCTGTAAGGACCCCGGAGCCCTGAGCAGTGCAATCTAGCCTGTGAAGGGTGCGATTGGCAGCTGTCCTGATGTGCCAGGCCGGCCCAGCACTGCAGGGCTCCCAGCCTGCTTGCAGCCACTGAGATTTCCTGATACCAACATTACAGGGGCTTAAGGATCTCTCAATCTTAGATAATTGAGATAGCAAGTAAAGGACTTGGACTAGTGACTTGAGAAATAGTCACTCTGATGATGATGATCATACCAGAATCTCTGATGAGAAGAGGCTCAGATTCAGAGATTCTTTGGAAGGGTCTAGGATTTGGGCATCCTCAAATTCACAGCAAGTGAGATAGTGGTCATCTAGCCTGACCTACAGCCTCATTTCTTGGCCTTTACTTGGTCTTGAATGGCCAAGCCCTCATTGGTTTCTGCCTTCAGGGGCTTGTGGGGGGAACAGGTACTGGCTGGCCTGGAGGGGTGAGCGCCACTTCCAGCTTGTCTTGGCTCTGGCTGGCTGATATGACCCCAGCATCTTTCCTGTGCTGAGTAGGGCAAGGACCAGGCCTAAGCCTCACTATCCCACTGTTCCTCCTTCTTCCCCCTCTCCCTCCTATTCTTTGGACTTTAATCAAGGGAAGTAGGAGGCAGAGGAGCCTACCTTTGGACCCTGACCTGGGGGTGGGGATACAGCACTGGGGTGAAGTGTGGGCCCTGCCCTGGGTTGGGAATGCAGCAGTGGCCTGTGAAGCAAAGACTGCTGCTGGAACTACCTATCCTTTGCTCTGCCGAGCCCCACTCACCCACTCAGCCCTGAGTCCCATCCCATCACCAAGACCACTGAGGCCTTGTCAGCTCTCCTCCGCCATCGCCTTCCTCTGCTCTGGCATTCTCTGCCTCTCCCTATTTCTGTGTCTGTTGTCTCATTCTTTCTCTGTTTTCCTCTCTTTTTCTGTTTCACTCTTTCCTTGTCTCTTTCAGTTTCTCTCTGTCTCTCTACCTCTTCAGTGTGTCCTCTACCCCCCTACCCTGGGTTCTTCTCCCTCTTTGGTCCCAGAGCCTTTTCTCTCTCCACCCTTCCCTTCTTTCCTGTGAGGGGTTCTCTACAAAAGGGATGCCCCCCCCCGCCCATTGCAACACACACCTTTTCCCTTTCTCTTTCATCCCTCCTTCCCTTCCTCTTTTCTCTTCCCATGTGGCATCTGGTGTGAGGAGGGCTCCCTTCCCTGCTGTGGTGTCCCAATGTCTCCGTGGCTGAGGTCCCCACGGAGTCACCTGGAACACAGGAGGCCCAGCCCAGCTCTTTCATTTCTGCTGCCCCCTGTTGTCGTTGTGTTCTGTTTGTGGTTCAAGTGCCGTCCTCTCTTTCTTGACTTTGTGTTTTTTTCTTTTTCCTTCCTTCCTTCTTTCCTTCCTTCCTTCCTTCCTCTTCTCTCCCTGCTTCCCACCCCTCCTCTTCCATTCCTTGTTCTCCAACACCCATTCCTACCAGTCCCCCTTTTCCCTTCCCCCACTCACTCTCACCTCCTTGTCCCCATTCCCCACCCTGCCTCTCCCCCCTTCCCTGTCTCTATCTCTCTCTCTGTCTCTCTCTCTCTGTCTTTTGCTGTCTCTCAGGTCCACAGCGTCTCATACTCTACACCAGTATTGCTGTCCTACTCAGGTCCTTGACTCCATGAAGCTTACCCCCTCAGGCAGGCTGGCAGAGAGCAGGTAAGAGCTAGACCCATCCCTTCCCCAGTCCCTAACCCTGTCAGTCAAATATGCAGTATCATTGCCAGTCCTCCTCCCTCATCTCCCTTTAGCCCCTGGTGTGATCATGGAATGGGTGTCTGAGTGTATGAGAAGAGTGACTGAGGGATCAGGTCAGGAGACTAAAGAGGACATTTAGAATCTGTTTGTAGTTTGTCCTTCCTTAAAAAAATCCTTCCCTTGATACTTGCCTCAAAAGGCAGGAGTAGTTCCTATATTGGGATTTTATCAGGAGGAGAGATAACTGTGGTCTGGATAAGCTTTCTAGAATATGTGATATTTGAGTTGTTTTGAAGGATAAGTAGGAATTTGCCAATTGGATAAGATGGAGAAGGGTGCTTAGGCAGAGGGAACAATCTGCCCACACCTTTGGAAAGCAATATCATTTCCAAGTTATTTGGAAAACACATTTTACAATTCCTAATTATAATACAATAAGATTAAATATTAACAACAAAAACACAAAATCTAGTCCCCACCACCACCATTTGGAAGTTTAAAAATAATTGTGCTAAAGGTGAAATAAGAATATAATTTACAGACTATTTTGAATAAATGACAATGAGAATACTACATATCAAAAGCTATGGGATATGGCCATAGGGGTTCCCTGAGGAAAATTTGTAGTCTTAAATGCTTTTCTTAGAGGAAAAGAAAGTTTAAATTAAATGAACTAAATATTTAACTCAAGAAGCTAGAAAAAGAACAACCAAAAGAAAGTAGAATAAAGTAATTACTGTATAATCTCTGAAGAGATACCAGCTTGTAAAAGTAATCACTGTAGATAAAACCAGAAATTTATGAAATAGAAAGCAAAACATTGATAAACTAAGTGATGGTTTTTGTAAAGATTAGTAAACTAGATAGATGTCCTTTGGTAGATGTGAATGAGAAAAAAAGCAAGAAAATACAAATAAAATATGAAGAAGATAATTGAACCATAGATACTGAAGAGATTTTTTTAAAAGTCATAAGGAAATGCTTCGTATCCTTTTATATCAATGTGAAAATCCAAATTAAATAGGTGGTTTTCTAGGAAATGTAAATAATCAAAATTGAGTTAAGGAGTGGCAGAAAACCTGAACAGACCAATAAGCACAGGAAAAAATGAGAAGGTGATTAAATTTTTCCTCTAAGAAATGGTACCAGGCTCACTTAGTGTTATGGAATTTCTGGTATATATTAATACAGCAACAAATATTTTAAATAAAAGATTAGAAAAGAAGAAGATATCAGGACAAATTAAGGTATATCCCAGGAGTACAGGGATTGATCAATATTAATAAATCTGTTACACTAATAAAGGAAAAAGATCATATAACCACCTCAATTGTTGTTGTTATTGGGTGCTGTTGAGTCATTTCTGACATGATGCCAGAGTAGAACTGCCCCATGCAGTTTGCTGGGATATAATCCTTATAGTAGCAGATCACCAGGTCTTTCTCCTGCAGAACTGCTGAACCACCAACCTTTCAGTTAGCAGCTAAGTGTTTAACCATTGTACCATTAGAGCACTTTAACCATCTCAATAGATGCTAAAAAATCTTTTGATAAAATTACTCATCCATCCCTGATTTTAAAAGATACTCTTACTAAATGTGTTATTTATGGCTGCATTGGGTTAATTTGTTATGCAGCAATAAATAATTAATACAGAGAGATGCAACTCAAAACAACAATGAGATATCATCTCACCCCAGCACTAATAACAAAATTCAAAGAAGCAGAAAACAACAAATGCTGGTGAGAATGTGGAGAGACTGGCACTCCCATACACTGTTGGTGGGACTGTAAAATGGTATAACCACTGTGGATAATGGTATGGTGCTTCCTTAAAAAGCTGGAAATAGAAATACCCTATGATCTAGCAATCCTACTACTAGGTAAATATCCTAAAGAAATAAGAGCCATGGCATGAATAGACATATGCACACCCATGTTCATCACTGCGCTATTCACAATAGCAAAAAGATGGAAAGAACCTCAATATCCATCAATGGAGGAATGGATCAACAAACTATGTATGGTACATACACCCAATGGAATATTAAAGAACAGTGATGAATCTGTGAAACATCTCATAGCATGGATGAATTTAGAGGCCATTAGGTTGAGAGAAATTAGTCAATCACAAAAGGACAAATATTGTATGAGACCACTATTGTAAAGAGTCAAGAAAAGGGTTTGACAACAGAAGAAATATCTTTTGATGGTTATCAGGGGTAGGTGGGGAAGGGAGAGTATACCACTCACTAGAGGGTAGACACATATTTACTTGGGTAAAGGGAAAGGTTAAATGACTAAGAAATCAATGTGGATGAATTTGGATTTCGTTCTTGGATCAACAATCAATGCCTGTGGAAGCAGCAGTTCAGAAATCAAATGACATATTCTGTTGGGCAAGTCTGCTGCAAAAGACCTCTTTAAAGTGTTAAAAGGTAAACCTGTCACTTTGATGACTAAGGTGTCCCTGATCCAAGCCATGGTATTTTCATTGGCCTAATATGCATGCAAAAGCTGGACAATGAAAAAAGAAGATGGAAGAAGAATTGACACATTCAAATTGTGGTATTGGCAAAGAATAGTGAATATACCATGCCAGAAGAAGGAACAAATATGGCCTGGAGGAAAACCAGCCAGAATGCTCCTTAAAAGTAAGGATGGTGAGACTTTGTCTCACTATTTTGAACATGTCATCAGGAAAGACTAAGCACTGGAGAAAGACATGATGCTTGGTAAAGTAGAGGGTCAGCAAAAAAGAGGGATATTCTCAATGAGATGAATTAATCCAGTGGATGTAACAGTGGGCTCAAACATAGCAACAACTGTGAAGATGGTACAGGACCAGGTAACATTTTGTTCTGTTATAGGTTGGTATGAATCTGAGCTGCCTGAGGGCAACTAACAACAACAGGAACAAAGTAAGAATGACTGCTATCACTGTTATCGGTCAATATTTTTTTCTGGAGGTTTTAACCAATGGGATAAAAAAAAGAGAGAGAGAAGTAAGTGCTATAAGAATTAAAAAGTGTCAGAATTAGCATTATTTGAGAATGATATAGTTGTCTACTTAGTTAATCTAAGAGAATGAAATGAAAAATCACTAACCCCTAGTCACCCTTCTGGCCTGGAATTGAACTCACTCCCTTGGCTTAACAGGCTTAAGAGGTGAACAATTACACCAGGAAGTTGCACTCCTTAGAACAGTCAACCAAAAGAGATCAGAAGGACAGCATATGCCCCCCAGAGAAAGCTCAGAAGGCAGGAATGTATATGAAAGGACACTGGAAAAATGTAACCAGAGGGAGGAAGTGGGAAGGGAGCCACTACATTGTGTTGATTGCAAACAATGTCACGAAACAAAATATGTATGAACTGTTGAATGGGAAATGAATTTGCTTTGTAAACTTTCACCCAAATCACAATAGAAAGCTAAAAGAAAAATAATTAGAATAAGACAATTCAGTGAGATGGGTAGATACAAGATAAATATACTCAAAATCATTAGCTTCTCTGAACATTAGCAATAACTAATTAGAAGCCATAATAGAAAAAAAATCTCATTCACAAAAGCAAAGGAAAATTATGATATTCCTAGGAGTTTACAGGAAATGTGAAATACTTTTTATAGAAAACTATAAAAATTGTATTAAAGGCTGTAAGAAGACTTGAATAAATCAAAAGTCAGATCCTCTTCCTGGATGGGAAGACCCAATATGGTAAAAAGTACAGTTCTTCCCAATTTGGTCATAGGTTCAATCCATTTCTCATGAAGATTTCAATGGTATTTTCTTTGGAATTGGGCAATTGGATTCTAAAGTTCATTTGGAAAGTAAATGGAAGTGAAACATCTAGAACAGAAACAATGAGAATGTTGGCACAATGTGAAGAATGTAACCAATGTCACTGATCATTATGTCTAGAAACTATGGACTTGAGTTTTGCTGTGTTTATTTTCACCAAAAATAAAATAACAAACAAACAAATAAACCCAGAAGCCATAAAGTAAAGAGTAAAAATTTTGACTGCATAAAAATTTAAAACTTATGTGTGAAGAAAGATTCTAACCCAAAGTTAAAACATCATGTTGGCTGGGAGAAAGTATTTGCTACACAGATATCAGGCAAAAGGTTATTTATTTTCTAATGGAAATCAATAAGAAAAGTTACACAACCAATTTAAAATGGAGAAATAACATGGTTTTATAATAAATGAGAAAGGATACTGAAGCTCACTAGTAGTTAAAGAAATGTAACTAAACAGCAATGAAGTACCATTTTTGCAGTACCAAAATTAAGATTGAAGGAGTTGTGGGGAAACAGACTCTCTCATATGATTTCTGCCGTCGAGTAGATTCTGACTCATAGCGACCCCTCCTTGGGTATCCGAGGCAGTATTTCTATGAAAGTAGATTGCCCAATCTGCCTTCCACGGAGTGGCTGGTGGGTTTGAACCGCCAGCCTTCTGGTTAGCAGTCAGATGCCTTTAGGCACAAGGCCACCAAATCAGTACAACCTTTTATAGGGCCAATTTGTGAGTTACCACCAGAATTTTAAATGTGCATATTCTACCACACTCAGAACCATATCTAGAGCTAGATTCCTTTAAGGTTTTACTACCAGATAGGCTCCAAGTTGGCTGGTCAGAGACCTTTTCTGAAACCCTCTCTCCAAACTGCAAACCTAAGCCATACTGTGCAGCTTTTTATCATATGCCTTTTTAAGATATTATTCTCAATCAACTATTAATTAAGAGGCTGACTGATGGATGCTTTTAAAAAATAAAGACAGGATTGTATGAGTAGGAATAATCTTTATTTTTAGTCAGTCTATAAAAGTATTAAAGTAATGCAAATAACTTTTATCCATATTTTAGACAAAATTTAATAATAGGTCTTTGGCCCAGTTATTCAACTTTTAGGATCCTATAAAGCATTTGACTGCTAACCAGTTCAAACCCAC